TGGTTGCCACCGAGGCCTCTGTGGGCCAGAGCAGATAGGGTAGTGTCTGAGAAGTCTGCACTGTAATGACCCCCTGTTGCACAGTCCCAGAATTGGGATTTGCCACATAAGAGCAAAAACAGGAATTGGCTACATACTGTTTCAGCTTCAAGAGGCTTTCAGGTTTTGAGCCTGATTCAATTTCTCTGTTAACTCAGGACTTGGCAGGTAGCACCACACCCCCAGCAAGGCTGTCCCCCAGCTGCAGGCTGTGTACGATGGGCCTTGTGACAGGCTGGAAACGTAAAACCACAGTGGGAGTAAGGAGGATGTATGGCAGTTCTAAGTCATTGAAACTGCTGTTTTCTCTCCCCAGGCCGTGAGGGGGTGTCCCTGCCCTTATTCCTGTTTCCTGCATTCACCCTTTAGGAACCAGAGTCCAGGAGCACAGTTGGACGGCTAGGGCAAATGGCAAAGAGAATTTAACCCCCATAATTGATGGTGGTGGTTGTCACATGCCACCCAAGAGAAGGCTGCCATGAGGTCCTTGCCATAGGCAGGGGCACCGAAACGTCATGGTGCAGTGAATCTGGTGGTGCTAGTGCTCTGTGAAGTGATGAACCAGTCATGGCAAAAAAATGAACACAAGTATAGCCAGCAATTGTGAGAGTTTTCTTCCTGAGCAGCTCTTTTGAAATAGCTTTCTCTACAATTTGATAGTTTTTATAAAATCAGACTTTATACAGTATTTTACTCATTGGGTTAAAAGGGGAACTGACTAGAATCCTTCTATGCAGTTGTCTGTGAAGATGTGTGGCACAATGCCAGGCTTTAGAAGAGACTTAGGACATAAATAGCATGTGCAGGATGCCTTATGTCACTGACCAGCTCCCTGTTGGTCTTAAGTAAATAAGCTACGAGAAAGTGAATATCAGTTCCAAACAGGCATAATTGCTGGTTCTTGGTGATTCTTTGTTAAAGCAGTTAGCAAAAGGCCATGCATTCATATGCTGTGATAGTGTGATGAGAACGTGTGTTACATAATTTCTCTGTATTCTTCTGAATGTTTAAAGAACAAGTAAAAAGGAAAAAGGTATGCTTTAAAAAACACATTGAGAAATGACTGTCTTACATGAGAATATCATCTGATTCAGACTATATAAAGCCACCTTTTCCCTCCTTGCCTTTAATCCACCCAAGAAAATGGCAAATGATACATTTCTTTCTCCTCCTTATTTATTCGCATGTTTATTTTAATAACTTCTTTGAGTTATAATTTAGCTCCAATAGGTTCATTTATTTTAGGTGAGTAGGCTGATTAAGAAATTATACACAGTGATGTAAACACCTGCATAATCAAGATAAATAGAACATTTCTGCACCTTTAAAACTTCCCTCGCGTTCCTTTGCAGTTGATCCCTTCCCTTAATCCCTGGCCCTGGGCAACCTTGGATCTCCTTTCTGAAACTATAGCTTTGACTTTAAAAAAAAAATTTTTTTTTTTAGCTTTGCCTTTTTTTTTTATTTTTTGAGATGGAGTCTCGCTTTGTCACCGGGCTGGAGTGCAGTGGCGCGATCTCTGCTCACTGCAACCTCTGACTCCCTGGTTTAAGCGATTCTCCAACCTCAGCCTCTTGAGTAGCTGGAATTACAGGCATGCACCACCACACCCAGCTGAATTTGTATTTTTAGTAGTGATGGGGTTTCACCATGTTGGCCAGCATGGTCTCCATCCCTTGACCTCATGATCCGCCTGCCTCGGCCTCCCAAAGTGCTGGGATTACAGGCGTGGGCCACTGCGCCCGGCCAGTTTTGACTTTTAAAAATTTTTATATAAATGGAATCATACTCTATGTAATCTCCTGTGTGTCTTTTTTCACTCAACGTAACCTTTTGGAGACTTACCTGTATTGTTTGGTGTTTTCATGTTAAATTCCTTTTACTGCTGAGTAGTATTCAGTAAGTGTGGATCTATTAAGTAAGAGAATGTAAGCATACATGCATGTGCGTATAAGTAAGGTGGTTCATGTGAGCATGTCCTCTCCTCACCAGTCCACTTACTGACTGCTCAGACAAATTAAGATGTCTCTTCACAATAAACATGTGCCTCTTAACCTTTTGACAGTTTAACTATAAAAATTGGACTATTCCTTTATTTCTTTTGCAAATTAGGGTTATACTTAAAACTTTGTTACTTGTATTAGGAAATTTGATTATGGCATGCCTTGATAGTGTTTTTCTTCATGATTTTTGTGCTTAAAGTTTGTTGAGCTTCTTTTATCTGTGGATTGATAGTTTTCATCAAATTTAGAAAAGTTTTTGGTTATTATTTATTCACATATGTTTATTCCATCTCCTCCCCTTCCTTCTCCTCCTTCAGTGACCAGCCCGTTGGTCCATCCATCCATCCTTCCATTGTTTCTTTTATCAGTTGTCTGTTTCATTTTAGGTCGTTTCTATTGCAGGCTCATCAAATTCACTAGTCTTTCCTTATGCAATGTCTAGTCTGCTCTTGTTCCCATTTAGCATGTTTTTCATTATAGGCATTGTAGTTTTATCTTTGGAAATTTGATTTAAATCTTTTTTAAAAAAATCTTCCATGCCTCTAAGATGTTCATTTTTTATTCTGGCTTCTAGAACATCAGGAATACAGTTATAACTTTTAGAGTCCCTGTCTGCTAATCTTATTACTCGTTGTTTCTGACCTGTTTCTGTTGATTGATTTTTCTCCTCATTATGAGTTGTACTTTCCACTTCTTGCATGCCTGCTCATTTTTAAAACTGAGTGCCAGATATTGTGAATTTTACCTTTTTGTGTGCTCAATATTTTTGTATTGCTATCAATATTCTTGAGCTTTGTTCTTCGATGTGTTAAATGACTCAGAAACAGTTTGATTCTTTTGAAGTTTGCTTTTAAGCTTTGCTGGGTAGGATGAGAGCAGACTTTAGGGATAATGTCACAGCCTTTCTGAGTACTGTTTCTGATGCCGTATGAGTTATGGGGTTTTCCACTCTGACTGGTGAAACTAGGCACTGTTCCTGGTCCTGTGTGAGGCTCAGGGATTGTTTCCTTTGTTTCTCTCAGGTGGTTCTCTCCCTGTTCTCAGATAGCTTTCTTACATGGAAGCCCCAATCAGTACTCAACTGAAGACTTGGGGGACCATCTAAAATCTCTGCGACACTCCCTCTGTGCAGCCGTCTTCTCTCTAGTACTCTGCTCTATGAGCTGCAACTGCCCTGAGACTCCCCACTCTATCTTCTCAGCTCAGAGAGATGCTGGGTTCCTCCTGGGTGCCCCCTTCCTGCACCCCGGCTTGGAAACTCTCTCCAGGCAGTAAGGTGGGCTTGCCTTATTGGCTTTCCCTCTCTCAGGACCATTGTCCTATGCTACCTGATAGCCAACGTCTAAAAACCATGATTTCCTTTTTTAAATGTTTTTCAGTTTCATGGTTTCCTTCTTAAAATTTTTTTTCAGTTCTTTAGTTTTCACAGGGGAGGGTAAATCTAGTCCTTGTTATACCATCTCCACTGGAAGCAGAAATCTTAACCTACTTTTTAAAACGTTTAATAAAATATTTTTAGCACATAGGCAAGTTGTATTGATTAGTCAGATAGCCATGACTCATTTTTATAGTTTTGTCACATTTCTACTGCATTTTTAAAAACAGAAGATTACTAAAATCCTTTCTTTCTCTCTCTTTTTTTTTTTTTTTTTTTTTTTTTTGGTGACAGTGTCTTACTCTGTTGCCCAGGCTGGAGTGCAGTGGTGCGATCTTGGCTCACTGCAACCTCCACCTCCCAGGTCCAAGTGATTCTCATGCCTCAGCCTCTTGAGTAGCTGGGACTATAGGCATGAGCTACCACACCTGGCTAATTTTTGTATTTTTAGTAGAGATGGGGTTTCGCCATGTTGCCCAGGCTGGTCTCAAACTCTTGACCTCATGTGATCCACCTGTCTTGACCTCTCAAAGTGCTGGGATTACAGGCATGAACTACTATGCCTGGCCAGATCCTCTCTTCTTGATCCTATTCTTCCTTCCCTTTACAGAAGTTGCCAATATTCTGTATTTGATAATTGTAATTTGTGTTTGGATTTAAAAAAATGGTTTTACTACATATATATGTATCCATAAGTAGTCTCTATTATTAGTGTTATCTGAAGATATAAAACAGTATCATGCTGTACCTATAATTCTTCCATTTTCTTTTCCATTCGTTTCTATTACATGTAGCTTTAGCTGAAATATACATTCCACAAGAACAAGAATCTTGCTGTGTTTTGTTCACTGGGATATTCCAAGTATCTAGAATAGTGCCTGGTACATTGTAGGCTCAATCAGTATTTGCTGGATGAATGAATTCATTTTAACTGTGTATAGTACTTTATTAATGTGTCACAGTTTATTCTCCTGTTCATGAATGTTTAGGTTCTTGTACCTTTTCATTTTTTTCTAATACGGACAGTGCTACAGTGAACGTTCTTGCTTGTGTCTCCTCGTGCACATATGTAAGAATTCTTTTAGGAAATACTGGGTGTTAGGGGCAGGCACCTCTTCAACTTAACAGTACTCCCACCAGCAATGTATAAGAATCCTCATTTCGGCCAGGCGTGGTAGCTCATGCCTGTAATCTCAGCACTTTGGGAGGCACCTGAGATAAAGAGTTTGAGACCAGCCTGGCCAACATGGTGAAACCTCATCTCTACTAAAAATAAAAAATACAAAAATTAGCTGGGTGCAGTGGCACATGCCTATAGTCCCACCTACTCGGGGAGGCCGAGGCAGGAGAATTGCTCGAATCCAGGAGGCAGAGGTTGTAGTGAGCAAAGATTGCATCACCGCACTCCAGTCTGGCAACAAGAGGGAGAGTCCATCTCAAAAAAAAAAAGAATCCCCGTTTCTTCACATCCTCACCAACATTTGATATCATCAGATATTTTAATTTTTGCCAATCTTATATACATGAGATTACATTTTGCTTGACTTTTGTTTTTAGTAATAACACATCGTTTTTCCCAACAGAAATTCAATGTCTTCTTTCCGTCCTGGGAGGGGCCATAATGATAGTCGGAGGACTGTGTTTTATACCAATGAAGAGTGGGAACTTTTAGACCCAACCCCTAAGGACCTAGAGGAGTCCATAGTGCAGGAGGAAAAGAAGAAGCCGACCCCTGAAGGAAACAAAGGTATCAGCGCGCTTCCTGTTGTCTGTCATTCTCTGTACTGCCGTCTGTTCACTAGTGATATGGGAGACACTTTATTAGCAGGTATTTTGAGAGGCATAGGCCTGGTGGTGGCTTGCATTCTCTTTGTGAAACTTAAAACACAAAGGCTTGAAAATTATTTAATAAATGTTATAAGAAATAAATGACTGTCTAATCCAATGGCTCTTAAAATTTTTTGGGAGATAGAACACTTGGAAGTCATGATCCTCTTTATGAAATACTGATTTTAAAAAACTTTATAAAAACTTGAATGTACACAAAAGAAGAGAAAATAGTCTTACGAATTCTGGTGTACTCGTTATCCAGCTTCCACAATGTGAACTGTGGTCTCTCTTCTTCCCTCTCCATCTCTAAGTTCCTGCTCCTCCCTGCACCCACTGTCAGCTGGATTATTTTAAATTTTAAGCATTAATCCATTGCATCTGCAAATGTTTTAGTATGTATCTCTAAGACATAATGACTCTTTTTAAAAAATATAGAACTTACTATATTTATAGTTATAATAAATCCTTAATATTATTTAATTCCTTAATTGTTCCCTAAGTGTCTGCTTACAGTTGGTTTCTTTAAGTGAGGATCCAAACAACACCCACACATTATATTTAATTGATGTCTTCTTAGGTCTCTTTTGGTGGCTTTTTCCCGTTCCCCCTCCTTTCCCACATTTGTTAAAGAAACCAGGTCTTCATGCTGAGGAGTCTCGCACATCTGGGTTTGCTGATTGTTTTTCTGTGGGGTCATTTAACATGCTTTCCTGTATACTGGCAGTGAGAGCCGAGGCCTGCCCAGATTCAGGGTGACTTCTGGTTGGACAGGAATGGTGTTTTGGTGGGGAGGTGCTGCGTGCTTCCTATCGCATCGCATCTGAAACCACAGTGTCTGGTTTCTCTCTTATCATATTAAGATTCATCAAGGCTTAGGGTTGTCATTCTGATCCATTCATAACCTTCTCCATCAGCCTTTTGCCAGATGCTTTTAACAGTCATTTATGATTCTAGATTGATTGATTGATTTTTGAGACGGAGTCTTGCTTTGTCACCCAGGCTGCAGTGCAGTGGCACAGTCTCAGCTCACTGCAACTTCTGCCTCCTGGGTTCAAGTGATTCTCCTGCCTCAGCCTCCTGAGTAGCTGGGATTACAGGCACGCGGCAACATGCCCAGCTAATTTTTGTATTTTTAGGAGAGATGGGGTTTCACCATGTTGCCCAGGCTGGTTTTAAACTCTTGACCTCAGGTGATCCACCCGCCTTGGTCTCCCAAAGTACTTGGATTACAGGAATGAGCCTCTGTGCCCGTCCACAATCGTAGATTAATTCATTAAGAGAATATTGATGTTTTAAACATGAAATAATAAATAATTTTGAAATTCCACTTTATACCTAATTCTAGCAAAAATGGGAAGCCAAGGATGCTTAGTATGCCTTCGTTTTCCATTAAAAGTGATCCTATGATAGAGTCTTCCAAGGAAGGATCCAGTGGGGGGAATCAGTCATCTTTGGCTGAAGCATGTTGGTTACTATCTAGAATGCGGTGGGGGCAGAGTCATCAATCTCCTCGGGTTCTCAAGGTGGGGAATGCCAAACTCCTTTGAGGATGATTTGCGAAGATAGTTTCCAAAAGGAAGATGTGGCTTGTATTTAAAACACAGTTTTATTTTTGTGTAGGAGTAACTGGCTCAGGATTCCCCTTTGATTTTGGACGTAACCCTTACAAAGGAAAGCGCCCTCTGAAAGACATAATTGGGTCGTACAGAAATCGTCACAGCAGTGGTGATCCTTCAAGTGAAGGCACACCAGGCAGTGGCAGTGTCAGCATCAGCATCAGGAAGCCAGCCTCTGAAATGCAACTGCAGGTCCAGAGCCAGCAGGAAGAGCTGGAACGGTTAAAGAAAGACCTGTCCAGTCAGAAGGTAACTTCTTCTTCTGGCTTCTGTCTTACCCCACATCAGCAGGCCAAGGGCGGGAGGAGTGAAGGCCAATCTGTGTTTCCCTGAATCTTTCCAGAGACAGTTTTGTTTCCCAAAAGTTGCTTTTCCCTGGAGGTTTCATACTGCCAGGGCCGTCATCCTAGGCGTGGCTGCTGTGCTTGATCATTGGTTCAGAGGTGTTTATATTTGTAAGGAGGGTGAAGAAAGGAGGACTGGGGAGGTTGCTGTCTGCACCTCCAGCCAGTCCTGCCCCAAGATTGAATCTCTCTAAACACAGTTTCAGCCCAGAGTTCTTTAACAGTCGTTAAGAAGACTTTCTGCATGAACAGCAGTTTCCTGAGCTAATCAGCTCTAATTACACTTAACTGTTCAGCAGTTCAGTGACTCTCAGAGCACAGATTTTTTAATACCCATGAACATTTACTGGACACCATTGCTAACTAATTACAGTGGGCAAGTCCATTATTTCCTGTTTCCTATTACTGTTCTCTACAGACAGTCTATGGAGTAAATATGTTTTTTTCTGTTTTTGAGATCCTTCAAGAGGAAGTTCAGTATTAAAATGTTTCCAGTAAAGTTTCTACATTTTCTTAAATTCTGACAATTGCTCCATGTCATGATTTGTGCTTTTTCTCCTCTCCTCGCTTTCCTCACCCTTCACTCCATTCTCCTTTTGGCTCCCAGGAGCTTGTTCGACTGCTCCAGCAGACAGTCCGGTCATCCCAGTATGACAAATATTTCACTAGCAGCCGGCTCTGCGAGGGGGTCCCAAAGGACACGCTTGAGCTTCTGTACCAAAAGGATGATCACATTCTGGGCCTCACCAGCCAGCTGGAGAGGTTCAACCTGGAGAAGGAGAGTCTTCAGCAGGAAGTGAGGACGCTGAAGAGCAAAGTGGGCGAGCTCAACGAGCAGCTGGGGATGCTGATGGAGACCATCCAAGCCAAGGATGAGGTCATCATCAAGCTCAGCGAGGGCGATGGCAGCGGGCCTCTGACCATGGCACCCGGCTCCCCTTCCACTGCACCTGTTGGCAGGGACCAGCTGGAACTGGACAGGCTGAAAGTAAGAGCAGGGCAGGGTTGTGATTGGCATGAGAGACCACCGATGTCACCCTAGAGGCCAGGCCTCTGTGAGCTGATTTGTGTGATGGCAGAACAGTTGCACACCCCTTTTTTTCCCCCCCCCACAAGTGTAATAGGACTTGCCATCAAATAATCGTTAATTTTCTGTGGAGCTTCCTTGGAAAGGAAACCTTGCTGCTGCTTGGAGCAGTTTCAAATCTTTCCCCTCACTTGCTTTCAGGCAACTGAGACGTTTCTTTCTGTGTATACCACCCTTAGGACTTCATTATCCTGTGTAACATATGGAGGCTGTTTCTTGCCCCTCCTGTGTACATGAAAGCACACGCAAACTTAATTTGTATAGCTTGCTGCAGGACCTAGTGGGTGCCTGGTTTGGGGCATTGTTCCCAACAGCTATTATAGGGTTAGCTGGGGAAGCAGACTCCAGCTTCCAAGGAGGCCTGCGAAGATGGGGCCTCTTCAGAGTCAGTGCCCCCAACACCCAGGGTGGGAGGGTCCTGACCCTTCGAAGGAAGTGTCCCTCTCTGGGATAGCCCTCAAGGTGGGAGGCTGTTTCCTGAACAGAAGTGACTCTCCGAGTCATGCCTGGGGTGGTGACCAGCTGATGCGGTAGGAGGAGCACACAGCACTTGTGAGAGGCGGGGGCAGCCTGCATTTCTCTTCTTGCCTGTAGAGAAGCCTGCTGGTCCAGAGGGGAGGCCGCAGGGAAGATCATAACATTCTTGGTGCCACCAGTTCTTGGGACTCTGTGGGAGAGGTTTCAGATGGACAAGTGGCCCCCAGGACATGGTATCAAGTATAGCCCATTGACCCCAGCAGACCCCAGATGTGTCTGTAGCTACGGGTCTCACCTAGCCCCAAGGCGTCCCTCACCTGGCCCGCTTCTTGCAAATAATGTGTCTCCAAGGGTGTTTGGCTCCAGATGGAGCTTGTCCTTGGAGAACAGAGGTTTGCTGCTGTCCAAGTTGTTACTTAGCATTTGCTTCATGCTTAGTAGTACCTTTCAGGCATTGTCAATGCACTGAGTGAGAGAATGATAGGCATGCTAGGGACTCTGAAGATAATTCCAAAACTGAAGTAGAAACACGAATCGTGGCAGCATGGCTGGAATATGTACATGGTCCCCATAGTGACCACTTCTCACTGACAGCACCCATTAGATATGTGAGGTCAGAGGATTTATGAATGAGAAAATCTAAAACAACAATAGAACCTGGTCTCAGTACTTTATACTTACACTACTGTTTAAAAAAAATGGCTGGCCAAACCTGGTGGCTCACACCTGTGATAGAAGCACTTTGGGTGACCGAGGTGGGCACATTGCTTGAGCCCAGGAGTTTGAGATCAGCGTAGGCAACATGGTGAAACCACTGTCTCTACAAAAAAAAAAAAAAAAAAGCCAGGCATAGTGGCCTGTACTTGTAATCCCAGCTACTCAAGAGGCTGATTGCTTGAGCCCTGGAGAATGGAGCAAGGCTACAGCGAGTCGAGATCCTACCACTGCACTCCAGCCTGGATGACAAAGAGAGACCTTGGTGCAAGAATAAAAAAATGCCCCCCTTTTTTTTTTTAAACAAATAAGAGGTCTTGGTTAGTGTTGCCAGTAGAAGTTGTTTTTTCATGTACACAGCATTGAATATACATGACCCTAAATATACACCCATCAATAATACACATTTTACGATTACTTAATGAAAGCAGAAATTTTTATTCTCATGTCTTTATATATTTATTTTTTTGAGACAGGGTCTTGCTCTGTTTCCCAGGCTGGAATGCGGTGGTTCAATCTCAGCTCTCTGCAGCCTTAACCTACCCTGCTCAAGAAATCCTTTAGCCTCAGTCTCCTGAGTTGCTGGGACTAGAGACTCGAATTACCATACCTGGCTAATTTTTGTATTTTTAATAGAGACAGAGTTTTGCTGTGTTGCCCAGACTGGTCTTGAACTCCTGAGCTCAAGTGATCCGCCTGCCTTGGCTTTGGAACGCTGAGATTACAGGCTTAAGCCATTCCGCCCAGCTGACAGCTGAAGTTTTTATTTTGCAAGTGTTTCGATTTCTGTAGTGTGTAGAACAAAACTATAGTGGTGGGTTTCCAGGGCATGCGTGGCACTCGGCAGTGGGGGAGGCGCAGTGGAGGAGGAGGCGTGTGGAGCAGGTTTTCCCAGGGAGTGAGCCAGAGTGTGTGTGGAGTGTGCCTCCTGGCTGTTGAGACTGCGCAGCTCCTTCTGGAGACAGCTAACGGAGCTGATCAAGGTACAATCAGAATAGGACACCTGATGCCAATCAGAACAGGACATTCCCTCCTCTTCTCTTTTCTTTTGCACCATAATGGGTGGAGTGGTTTTGAATCTGCATGAAGTTTTGTTTCTCCAACATTCCTCAGTTTAACAAGTTAAACAGTTTTTAACAACTTAACAAGCCTGTGGCTCCAAGACATCACAACCTTTAGGTTAAGTGGCAACAGCTGATGAAGCAGCTGATGAAGCCGAAAAGCGTGGTTGGGTAGATTCCAGGGAGATAGTTGAGGCCAGTCTGGGTCTGGGGGCCTCATGCTTTCTACTGCCATGCTGTTGCCAGTGCTGAGGGTCCCTCTGCGGTGCAGAAGGTGTTCACGCCTCATGCAGGGTTCCTCTGCAGTGGTGCTGGGAGAACTGGAAAGGCTCCAGGGAGAAAGAGGGAGAGCTTTGACAGAAGTGGGTGTTCTCCTGTGTGTTCTCTCATAGCCCTTCAGCTCTAGACGGGATATGGATGAAGAAGAAATATTGATTCGTTCTTCTGATTCCAAATTTAAAATGTCTAGCCAGAAAAAATATATATATTTAAGATATATTTATTTAAAGTATATTTTTGTGTATTTTTTAATTTTAAAGATATTTTTATATATCTTTTTTGTTATTGCTGTTCTTGACCAGTTTTCATGCTTTATTGTCAGTGGGTGTGGCCTGTAAAGATTTCTGCCATTGGGATTTGCTAACTTTTTTGGTGTAGTCTAGTGCATGGTTACTTTTTGTTCCTATAGTATTCCGAGGCAGGAATACACATTGCTCCCAGGATTTTGCCACCCTGGTGATTTAAGTCATTATTTTTCTATGTTTCCTTCCAGTCCTTTTCTATGTTTCCATAATTCTTTCATTGTTGAAGTAGTTGGACTTTCGTCTTGTTCCATTCAGCATTATGGCCCCAGCACTTCCATGTTGCTGTCATCAGCGATTTCAGGGTTGTCCATCCTTTGTGATAGCACAAAGGATGTGTTATCTTCCTCCCTGTCTTTCTTCCTGCATTTGCTGTTCCATGAATACCTCCATGCCTGTACTTCTTCAGCTCATCTATTCATCCAGCCAGCTGTGGGCCCGGCCATTTACTCTACAGGGGTACACAGGCACTGCAGTCCTGGGCCCCACAGTTTGATTTAGAGGCACAGACAGAAAAGCAGAATGACAGCTGGAGCACGCACCAGGACGGAAGGGGATGTGGAACAGGTGGGGTGATGCTTTACATTGAGCATGGCCTCTGGAGCTAGCCCTGGTTGAATTCAAACCCAGATCACCACGTAGCACCTCTGACTTGGGCAGGTAACTTCATGTCTCTGCCTCAGTGTGTTTATCTGTGGAGCAGTGCTTGTTTTCCTCATAGGTATTGTAAGGGTTACAGGTGGTAATCCACATAGCGCCCTCCCTCACGCAATGTCTGGCTCCTCATAGGGTCTTCAGTGTTGGATGTTGTTATTGCTGTGGTGGTCATCATCATTCTAGAGAAAGTGTCCATAATATAAATAATCAGGACTGACTGAGACTGTGACACAAATTTTAAGTTAAAGACAGACAGGGCAACTGATGTTACTTGCTTCCACTGACCCACTTTGTGTCACTCAGTCTCTATCCATCACTGTTGAGTGTTTTCTTCAGTTGCCCTCCAGCCCACTTTCCTTTGGCTGCCCTGCCTTTGAGTAATGTGTTTGCTTAATGTTTCCAAATATGAGACCTTTGGCCAGGTGCAGTAGCTCACACCTGTAATCCCAGTGCTTTGGGAGGCCAAGGCAAGAGGACCACTTAAGGCCAAGAGTTTGAGACCAGCTTGGCCAACATAGTGAGTCCCCATGTCTACAGAAAAAAATTAGCTGAGTGTAGTGGTCATGCCAGTGGTCCTAGCTACTCAGGAGGCTGAGGTGGGAGGATCACTTATGCCCAGGAGTTCAAGGTTGCAGTGAGCTATGACCATGCTACCACACTCTAGCCTGGACAATAGACGGAGACCCTCCCTCCCCCCCCACCTCTCGATACAAAGTCTCACTGTGTCACCAAGGTTGGAGTGCAGTGGCATGATCTTGGCTCAGTGCAGCCTCTGCCTCCTTGGTTCAAGTGATTCTCAGGCCTCAGGAAGGGTAGCTGAGACTACAGGCGTACACTACAATGCCTGGCTAATGTTCTGTATTTGTAGTAGAGACGGGGTTTCACCATGTTAGCCAGGCTGATCTCAAACTCCTGTCCTCAAGTAATCCTCCTGCCTTGGCCTCCTAAAGTGCTGTTATTACAGGCATGAGTCACCATGTCCCTCCAACCTTGTTTCAAAAAAAAAGGAAGTCCAACATTCACATTTCAAGTACTTGTCATTATGTGGTCTTGCTGAGGCTGAGTATGATGTCTGTCAACATTCTAATGGGAGTCAGGGACCTGAGACCATGGAGCTAAGAGCCCACTGGCCTGGCTCTCAGAACTCTGATTTGCAGCCTAGACAGTAATTGGGCAGCCTTCTATGGCTCAGTTCTTCACCTCAAAAATAAAGAGGGTGAGAATGGCTGCCTAAGAGTTGTGAGTTTTAAACAAGATTAGGAATCCCACATGCCTAGCACAGGGCACCTGTAAGCCATCGAAAGTGCTCCATAAATGTTAGTGATTAAAGGGACATTGAATTATTTTCAGTTTTTCTGCATTTTATGGGGGAACAGTATAATCCTGTGGTAGTTTCTTGTTTGGCCATGGGGAATTTCTGTAGCTTCATCTCTGGGGAGTGGCAGCAGTCTTCTGCCTGTGGCATCACAGGAGTCTGTCTTGACTACCCTGGCCTGCCCTTTGAGCTGTCTCCAACATGATTTCTTCTAGGATTGGGAGATCAGGAACCTCACATACCAGCCTGTCACATTATAAAAGAAAAATACTTAGAAGCAGGGAGGGGAAAGGGGGCACATTTATAAAAGATTGAATTTGTAAAGAACATTTGGAAGTCACTGCTTCAGAGGTGATTCTGATTAGTATCCTTAGCTGCTTCTTCAGTTCATTGTTTCTATTGGGAGAGTCAGAGGAAGTTTCCGGCGCTTTAGTTTCAGTGTTTTACATGAAAATGCCTCACCCCCTTACTGCTTTGCTTTCGCTTGCTGTTATGTTGGCTCCTTTCAGCTTTATTGCTTGTAATTTCAAGGCCTGAAGCCAATGTGACATCTGCCCCAGCCCGACCTGCTCTCTAAGTTGGACTTGGCAGAACTCTTCATCAGCTTGTTCTGTTCTTTTAGAGACAGAAAGCAAATAGGCAAAGGTTAACAAGTGGCCAATTCAGGGGAAGGATATATTGTGTTCATTGTACTTTTCTTTCAACTTTTCTGTCAGTTTGAAATTTTTCACTGTTGAAGAACATTTGTTTTCTTATGCGCCTAACACATTGCAGGTCATACGATTTGTTATTAAGAGTGATTTTTAGTTAAAGGCTTTTGTATATGTGTGTAGCCTTTTTTTATATAAAATCGATGTGATGATTATAACCTACAGAAAATATGTTCAGTTTCTCTAGTTAAAAAAAATGTAAGGCATTGCTTTTGTTTTTACCACCTCAGTGAATATGGAATATGGATAGATAAAATATCTGCATACATATGGGAAGCACATCCTATTAATTTCTCCTATCATCAGTTGAGAAAAACTAACACCATTAAATAAGTATTTTCTCCATCTCCATTGCAGCAATCATGCCTACTGGCCTTCTGCTGCCAAAAAGATTAATGGGAAAGTGCCTGTTAACAACTTCTAGTTCTTTAGAACTTACTCTAACTTAGCAGGGCTGTTTGATTGGTGAGGCAGCAAGATGCTGACTACATAGGGTAATTAATTGGTCAATATTCAACCGATGTGAATTCAGGGATTTTTTTTTTTTTTCTAACAGGATAATCTACAAGGGTACAAAACCCAAAACAAATTTCTAAATAAGGAGATTTTGGAACTCTCAGCTCTACGAAGAAATGCAGAAAGGAGAGAGAGAGATCTCATGGCGAAGGTGGGTCAGGATAGATGGATTCTATTATCTGGTGGGAGGTAAGGTAAGGAAACCATTAAGAATAAGCATGCTTTACAAACCAGTTCACATCTCAGGCTTGGAGAGATGTGATTGCTGATACCAAAATATATTTGAAATATGTACAATACATAGAGCTATGTAGTCTCATCAGAGATAAATGCCCTGAGATGTGCCTTTTTCACATAAACTGGGTAAGTAGGAATGAGAATCTATAGAAAATATGTTCAGTTTCTCTAGTTAATAAAAAGAACGTAAGATATTGCTTTCTTTGTGCGTTACCTTTGTTCATAAGCATTTTTAATGGATTTTGAAGAAAAGGTATATATTTGTAAGGTCTCCTAAACTAAGGTAATTTGGGTTTTGATTTATGCTGTTCAGTTTTGTATTTATGGAGATGGTGAGGTTAGTGCCTCCTCTGTGAACCAAATAGGGTTGGTGTGAAAGTCAGGTATGATTATGGCTGTAAAGGGTTTTGCACAAAGTGTAATGGGATCATGGACATTTCAGCCATAATCAAATGACACTTGTCAACTGCTGTTATATACCTGACCCACTTTTTTGAACAGAGCTTGAAGCATCTTCCCAGACCTTATTCCTGCATGTTTTCCAGGGTATATTTGATTTGTCTGATAAGGTGCCAGATGGGAGCTAGTCCTGGATCACAGAGTCCTAAGAAAGAATGGGTATAGCATGGAGTGGCCATACTCATGGGCCATGTGCCAAATGGCACCGAGCTGGACCTCAGTAATTGGCATGTAGCCTGTAGCCTGGTTTCTGCTGCTCTCTCCACCTCTGTCCAGAGGTGATGCATTTGTTGGCATCCTGAGGTCTGATGACCAGCACCCCTTCCACAAGGAAGAGAGGCACCCACTGCAGGCCATTTTAAACATGACAGGTGGTCTGTGATATAAATTAATGTATTGTCTTTGATACAGTCTGTCTCTGGCTCACTTCGTACTAATTTCTTGCTTTTGATACAGTCTGTCTCTGGCTCACTTCCTAATAGTTTTAGGTTTGTGTCATTGAGTGTTTGAGTGCCTAAAGATTGCTCTTCCTGTTTCTCTGTCTTGATGGAGATAACCAACACATACTCTGCAGTATTCTAGCCTGGAAGCCAAGCTCTGCCAGATAGAAAGTAAATACCTGATACTGCTCCAAGAAATGAAGACACCAGTGTGCTCAGAAGACCAGGGGCCCACCCGGGAGGTCATAGCCCAGTTGCTGGAGGATGCTCTGCAGGTTGAGAGCCAAGAACAGCCAGAGCAAGCATTTGTTAAACCTCATCTTGTCAGGTAAAGGTGCTAGTGACTGTTGGGGATAGTGCATCCCATTTCTGAAGTCCCCTTTTCACAGAGAGCTGTACACAACTGTGTATCTCATTTGGTGCTCACGACAAATGCTGTCAGGTTAGCAGAACAGGTAATGTCTTCATTCTTCCATAGTAATCAAGTCATAGAGCTGGGACTCACCACAGGTCTTCTGATTGCAAGACCTATTTCTCATGTAAGTGAGAGAACCTTCCTTCTGATCCTTCCTTCCTCCAGAAGAAGCCAGTTTCCAAGGAATAGGAACCTTCTCCTAAAACATAGCCCTACCCACAGGTGGTTCAAAACAAAGGGGGCCCCTAAATGAAGAACTGGGCTTACACACACACACACGCATGCACGCACGCACATGGCATATATTTTTGGGGAAAGCGCTGAATTTGGAAGCCCATCATGGATCTTGGATCAAGGACTCTCTCATAATCTGTTTTCTAAAAAATGAGACTCATGAAATTGTTGAACCAGGAGAAATCTGCAGATGCACGGAGTTTGGCCTCCTCTTATTTCCACTACTCAGGAGCAGCCCTGTGTCTAGGTCTTGCTTACTGTGGTCTCCTTGCTTGTCCTGCCCTACCCCTGCAGGCCAGGTGAAGCCTTGCTTCAGTTTGACATGACCTTTCCCTTCTCTGAGCTTACAGCACCAGCCGGCATTGTTTGGGCTACTCAGATGACAGTTAGAAATATGCTCAGCAGGTGCCTGACACCATCGTTTCTGAACTCTGTTATGGAGGTCTGCCATGTGCCAGGAACTGTGCCAAGTGTTTTATGTTCAGGGGTTTGTACTTAATACTCAGTGAGGTGGGTGCTTTTATGCCCACTTTATAAGTGAGGAAACTGGGTTTGGAGGTGTTAGAACTTGCCTGGAGTCACTCAGCCTGTGAGTGGCGAGGACAGGCCCTCAGCCTGGATAGTTGGGTTCCCAGGTGCAGGAGCGCCACCTGCACACTGGGCGTTGGGCTTTGCTCATCGTGGTGGCTGTTAACCTCTGCGAGCCCTTGTTGTGTTCAGAACACAACACATCTGAAGGTGTTGTGTGGTGTTCTTATGTAAAGCGTTCTGTGCTCTTACTATTTATGTTCTATGTTCAGATTTTATGTATAAGTAGAATAACCATGTATATTGGTTTATTTTCAACTTTTTCCTATGGAAAATTTAAAACATACAAAGAAGTAGACAGAATTATGTAACATATCCCCCTGTATGCAACTAATTGAGCAATAATGTTTTGCCAATATCATTTCATTTTACCTGACTCCCCACAGTTTTTTTTTTTCTGGAATATTTTAAAGCAAATGTCAGATTTCATGTCATTCTACCTGTAATCACTTCAGTGTGTATTCCTGACTGACGATACCTTTTTACATACCAATCCCAGGTACGTATCATTTTGAAACTTAACTTCGTTGAACATTATTTTCTGAAATGATCCATGTTGATACAAGTTGCTCCTGAGCTATCTTTTTTAAGAGATGGGGTCTCACTCTGTTGCCCTGGCTGGCCTCAAACTCCTGGGCTCAAGCAATTCTCCTACATCAGCCTCCCAAGTAGCCGGGCCTACTGACGCCCACGACCAACCACGCTTACCTGTTTTGTAGAAGATCATTGTGTGAATCTGCTGCAATGTCTTTATTCTTTCCCCTCATGGAGGACCTTTAGGGTCTTTCCATTTTTCCCTTTTACAGTGATGCAAGAACCAGTCATGGTCCATATTCCCCTGTGCCCACATGAGAGAGTTTCTCTAGGGTGCAGGCTAGAAGTGGAATTCCTGGTATATAGAAAATACATACCTTTATCTCTGCTACATCTGAGTTCCAAAGTGCTTAAGTAAGTTGACGCTCAGCAGCAGTATGTGAAAGGCCTTTGTAGTTTTCTTTTACTGGTACAACAAATTATCATTAACATAGTGGCTTAAAACAACACAAATTTATTGCCCCATAGTTCTGTAGGTCGGTAGGCCAACATGGGTCTCATTGGATTAAAATACAGGTTTAATTAGGAGCTGCTTTTCTTTCTGGAGCATCTGGGACAGTTAATTTCCTTGTTCATTTCAGTTGTTGGCAGAATATAGTTTCTTGCAGTTGGTCATGGGACTCGGTCCCTGTTTCCTTGCTGGCTGTCAGATGTGGTTGGCAGCTTCTAGAGCCCCCTGCATTCTCTGGCCTGTGGCTCCTTTTCCCATCTTCAGGGACAGTAGATCAGGTCCAGCCCCTCTCATGAGTCCCATCTCTCCTGCCTGAGGTTTCTGACTGACTCTTCATATTCAGGCCCACCAGATATCCCAGATAATCTTCCTGTTTTAAATTCTGTAGTCTTAACTGCATCCATTAACATTCCATTAATAACATTCCTATTGCCATGTAACGTAACACAGTCATAGGTTCCAGGACCTGGGACGTGAACATCTTTATCCCTAATAGCTTATAAATACATTCTTCCTTGTTTTTTTAACCCTTTGAAATGATATTTTAAAGCATAAAGTTACACATATGTAGCATATGTATGATAAAGAAACATACATACACATTAATGTAGCCAAGTTTATCAATCTTGTTTTAGTGCTATTCACCACATTTTCTTCCATGCTTTTCACATTTTCACTTTTAAACTGAAATATGAAAATAGTAACGAGAAGAGATCTAATTTAATTTTTCATTATAGGTAGCCAGTTGTCCTAGCTTTATATACTGAGAAGTTGATTATTTCCTCACTGCTTTGAAATGCTTTCTCATAGTGCAGTGTACCACGTGTGCCTGGATTGGTTTCTAGGCTGTTTCTATTGCGTTGGTCTTTGTTGCTAAACCTTTGTCATTTTAATTTTTCCTTTCATGTTTACCAACAGTGAATATGATATTTATGGGTTCAGGACTGTACCTGAGGATGATGAGGAAGAGAAGTTGGTCGCCAAGGTCCGTGCGTTGGACCTGAAGACTCTCTACCTGACAGAAAACCAGGAAGTCTCCACTGGGGTCAAGTGGGAAAACTATTTTGCGAGTACAGTGAACAGGGAGATGATGTGCTCTCCAGAATTAAAAAACCTGATCCGTGCGGGCATTCCCCACGAGCACCGTTCCAAGGTATGGAAGTGGTGTGTGGACCGTCACACCAGGAAGTTCAAGGACAACACTGGGCCTGGCCACTTCCAGACCTTGCTGCAGAAGGCGCTGGAGAAACAGAACCCAGCCTCCAAGCAGATTGAGTTGGATTTGCTGCGAACTCTGCCCAACAACAAACATTACTCCTGTCCCACCTCGGAAGGCATACAGAAGTTACGCAATGTCCTCCTCGCCTTCTCCTGGCGGAATCCAGACATTGGGTACTGCCAAGGCCTAAACAGGTGGGTGTGCGGCATAAAGTGTTCCCACTTGCCATTAGGCAACTTGTAGGCACCCGTGCTGCCTGGCAAGCTCCCTTCCATCCTAGTTGGCCAAGAAAACTGAATATTTAGAGAGAAAAAAGTAGTTGCGGCAAGCCAGTTTTCACGACTACAATATCCCCATTTCTAGAAGAACTGAGAGAAACAAACGTGCTTTCAGAAAGTATTAACACAGAGTTAAATTCATTTGAAACTACTAGGGGTCTCTTATTTTCTGTTTGCTCTCATCACGCTCAGGTTTCGATCAGAAGTTTGATTTTATTAGTTTAACTACATGGAGTGGAAATTGGCGGTCACCCCTTGTTTATGCAGTCTACAGGATCTTTTTGTGAATCAAGAAGTTGCCCCAGACAGTTATTCAACCAATTGAAACTTAGCCCTTGATGGACTTAAACTTGTTTCCTTTTAAACTAGAATCTTTAATCTTGCATACTTTCCTACTTTCATAGGCAGAGAATGCCGAAAGGCCTCTCACGTTTTCTTGGTGATCCAGGCTCATCCTCCTGAGCTGTGCAGGGATGGGATGAGGCCTTGGGAGGACTGTGGTCTGCTCCCCACGAAGCTCTTCCTGTCACTGGACTTGGCTCTGACTGCTTCTTACCTGTCTGCTTACTGCAGTCCTTGCAGTTGTCCATTTATATTGCTCTCTGAGTAATGATAGTAGGTAACCAAGCTTGTTAGAAATATGGATAAAGGTTGAGTTTGGTGGCTCACACCTGTAATCCCAGCACTTTGAAAGGTCAAGGTGGGGGGATCACTTGAGTCCAGGAGTTTGAAACCAGCCTGGGCAACACAGTGAAACCCCGTCTCTATAAAAAATTACAAAAAAAATTAGCTGGGTGTGGTGGTCACGCCTGTGATCCTAACACTTTGGGAGGCCGAGGCGGTTGGATCACCTGAAGTCAGGAGTTCAGTACCAGCCTGGCCAACATGGTGAGACCTCTTGTCTCTACTAAAAATTCAAAAATTGGCCAGATGTGGTGGCACATGCCTATAATCCCAGTTATTCGGGAGCTGAGGTAGGAGAATAACTTGAACCTGGGGGCAGATGTTGCAGAGAGCCAAGATCGCAGCCACTGCTCTTTAGCCTCAATGAAAAGAGTGAGACTCCATCTCAAAAAAACAAAAACAAAAAATTAGCTGAGTGTGGTGGCATGTACCTCTAATCCCAGCTATTTGGGAGGTTGAGGTGGGAGGATTGCTTGAGCCCAGGAGATGAGGCAGCAGTGAGCCGTGATCACACCACTACACTCCAGCCTGGACGACAGAGTGAGACCCTGTCTCAAAAAAAAGATACGGATAAAGTAAGAATGAAAAAGCTCTGCGTGTGCATCATAGGAATTCTGTAAGCCATGCGTGAGCGGGAGTTCTCAGTGCTGACATTCGTCCTGGCTGCCCACAGGCCTTTTTGCTCCTGCACCCTGCCAGGCATTGACCTCCATTTCTATTTGTGTCTGAAATGACAGTATTACAGGAAGAAAGTGTTTGAGCTGGAATGTTATTTGGTTAAGACCTGAAACCAAATGGTTTCCAGGAAGTCATTGTCTCTGTGGTGGTGAGGATAGGGCAGCCTCTCTGTGTGCCCTCAGAAAGCTGCTCCTAGACAGTCTCCATTTAAAAAAAGCCTGCCTAGTAAAGCAGTTTTGTTTTGCTTAAATCCACCATTCACATTATATAGTCAATCTGAGAATTCCTGGAAGCTGGAAACCCCTGAAACTAAGGGTCCTGGTGAGGACCTGAGCATGCCCGTTTGGGGTACAGTAATGCCCATTTATCTGGCATTGTCATGGAATCCATTTTTTCCTACGCAAAAGATACTTCCAGGTAATTGAAACTTTCTCTCTACACTTCCACCCCTGTCACCATTAAAACCTCTGAATTGTGACCATTTTGTAACCATTTTATGGGACTTTTTCTTCAAAATAGTTTGTATGTGTCCATGCCTCTGAGCACCCAGAACTTGAGCAGCACAACTGTAGCCTTGTCTAGATAATTGTGATTCAGGCCTATCATCTGGAGTATTGGTGATTTAAATGATGTCCTCAAAGGCTCTGCTCCTTCTCCTGGCACCATCGAGTCTGTGGATTTGGTGTCTGTACCTGTGTGTGCTCTCATCTGTCTCTGCCAGTGGTCACCTTTCTCCTTTCCATCCCATCCCTGCCTACTTGAGACATTCCCTTCCCACCTATCTAGAACATATTTACTTATTTTCCGTTTAATTTGAGATGAGTTTATTATAGGATTTTTTTTTTGAGATGGAGGCTTGCTCTTTTGCCCAGGCTGGAGTGGAGTGCAATGGTGTGATCTCAGCTCACTGCAACCTCTGTCTCCCAGGTTCAAGCGATTCTCCTGCCTCAGCCTCCTGAGTAGCTGGGATTACAGGCACATGCCACCATGCCCAGCTAATTTTTGTATTTTTAGTAAGAGACAGGGTTTCACCATGTTGGCCAGGCTGGTCTTGAATTCCTGACCTCAGGTGATCTGCCCTCCTTGGCCTCCCGAAGTGCTGAGATGACAGGCATGAGCCACCACACCTGGCCCATTATAGTTTTATCTAAGGAAAAAAATTGTGAGAAATGCCTTCAAGGGTTTTCCCATGAGTGTCTCTCATAAGCTTCATGTCGTGGGCAGAGGTTTTGGGTTTCAGCTGAGAAGAGGGAGGCCTTTCTCTCATTTCTTCCTTTCCATGCTGCTGCTCCAGATGCCCACCTGGAGCCATACCAGGGCTATTGATGAGTACCCTCTTGATGAGTGACAGCATGTAACTAGCTGACCCCAGTTTCTGTTATGAACAACATAGCAACTGAGTTCTTCTTAAATGATGAACTCAATCAGCTGCATTCGCAAAATCTGATAATGAAAACTTCTTAAAACTGAGGCTCGTCAATCATTAGGAAGGAATTTCATCTTTGAACAAAAACCAAGTGAAAGCGGGGGAAGGTAGCTTTGCTTCTCAAATTTTAGGAAATGCCTCATTTGCAAAGGAACACTTGCTTTTTTTTCTTTCTTTCTTTTTTTTTTCTAATGAGGCAGGGCCTTGTTCTATTGCCCAGGCTGGAGTGCAGTGGTGTGATCATCCCTCACTGTAGCCTCCGCCTCCTGGGCTCAAGCGATCCTCCTGCCTCAGCCTCCTGGGTAGCTAGTACTACCAGGTATGCCTCATTGCTCCTGGCTGATTTCTGGTTTTTGTTTTTTAGAAATAGGGTCTTGCTATGTTGCCCAGACTGCTCTTGAACTCCTGGCCTCAAGTGGTCTTCCTGCCTTGGCCTCCCAGAGTACTGGGATCACAGGCATGAGCCATTAAGCCAGGCCCTTATTTTTCTTTACTGTTGAACTAGAAATGGTTTGGGCCATGAGAGAGAAAGTGGCTTAATGCAGACGGTGTCTGTGGAGACTGTGGTAGCAGCCGTCTGTGCCTGGGCGCTCATCTTGTCCTCGCTTTGCTTATAGGTTGGTGGCAGTGGCCCTCCTGTACCTGGAACAAGAAGATGCTTTCTGGTGTCTCGTTACCATAGTGGAAGTTTTCATGCCTCGAGACTATTACACAAAGACTCTTTTAGGATCGCAGGTAAGTTTTGAAAATTTTGTACTTCAGTCACCAGTTTTAGAATTGCAGCTGAATTGTGACCTGAATTAAACCTGTGGTTGTGACTTCAGAGACTGATTCCTGAAGATGGCAGGGCTTGTCTCAGACTGGCCCCAGTCATGGCCTGCTGTTTGTGACTGAGGCCACCAGGTTGGGCTCGTTCAGCCCCCTGGGAACCAGCAGAGACAGACCCATCATGCAGGCCGAACGTTATGTTCACTGCTCTGCGCTTTCTCCCCCAGACGCAGGCTCACCTGCAGGCTGAGTCATAATCCAGGCGTGCTTGGGGGAACGGGTGTGTTAGCTCAGGCTCTCAAGAAGCAGATGCTAGGGTGTGATGAGACAAACCAGAGAATTCTGGGGGAAAACCACTGTGGAAGACAAGGGACAGAGAAGCTCCAGCCCCAGGAAAGGAGAAGGATGGGGAAGAGAGTCCCAGACCCTGTGCGGTGGCCACTGAGCAGTCCTGAGGAAGTCTGGACGGGGCCATTGGGGACCCATCAAACCAAGGATGGTGACCAGGCACCCGCCTCCAAAGACGGGCTGCATTCGTACCGCTGCTGCACCCATGCCCGGCAGCTGGGGACCCACGTGGTGATGCACCAGAAGGGCAGTGGCAGAGCGTGCGGTCACCTCCCACAGGGGGTCTGAGTGGCGCATTTCATGCCGTCCACACCTGGAGTCTGATGCCAGGGGCTAGGGCAGGGCGACATGGGCTGGGAGAGCCCAGTGTTTCTGTCTTTGCTTGATACGGTCCTGACCCTGGACCAGACCCTTGGTCCTTTGTGTCTTCCCTGGGCTGGGCTGGGGCTGCTGCTGGCACTGGCTTCCCCATAGGCTGGCCCTTGGCATGTGGCACCTCAGACACCTTCTGTCTTAACCACAGCTGTGCCTGCATGTGCCTGCTCTGTCTTATGTCTCTTCTCCAGGTCTGTGCCCCCGCCTGGCCTGCCTGCCCATAGCCTCTCCTTGCCCTTCTCCTGCACCACCTGGTGTTGTGAGGCCTGGCCCTGCCAGCCAGTAGGAGGCACTGGCCAGAGACTGGAGGGTGGCAGAAGGGGCTGAAGGGGTTTCCCTCCCCATCGCAGGCATTGCCTCTGAAGGTGGCTTTGTTTCCTCTATGCCCAGCTCCTGTCCTGTGGATCCTCCATGCCAGCCGCTGACCCCACCTGCTCCCTTCATTTCTCCCCCCAGGGTGGCTTTCTGCCCTTGCTAAACTGAGCTGCCTCACCATCAGCTGTTTGGCTTCTTAGCTTTTCTGTCACTGGTGTGACCAGCCCCTGGATGACATTCCCTCTATGACATCTATTTAGAGGGACACCTATTTAGTTTTCCTGACTGGACCCTGAGCGGGTGTCCTTTGCATTTGCATTTCTGCCTTTTGGGGGAAGGTGGTCATTATTGCCTCTGCCTGTGCTCCTCACCTCTCCAGCTCCCCAGGCTGGAGCCTCAAGCCGTCCTGGACTCCTGCCTCCCTCTCCTGTATCCCTGTCACCACCATTTCTAGTGCTGCCACCGGCTGCTAGGCAGGCCTGCTACTGTTCCCACTGCTCCAGCGCAGGCCTCCGGGACAGCGGCCAGTGGACCAGATCATTCTGTGTGCCTGCATGTCCTCCAGTGAGTCAGTGGTACCTGAGGGCCACCGCCCTGTCTTCCTGTTAGTATTCCTGGCACCCCACACAATGAATGTCTGAACTTAACATGAGCTACTCTGTGACCAGAGAAAGGGAACTGGCATCTACTGAGCCCTGGCCCGGTGCCAGCTGCTGTACATCTTCACCGAGCCTTGCACGGTAGAGCCATCAGTGTCCCCATTTGACTTGGGAGAAAACTGGGAGTTGAAGACATTAATAAGCACTTTGCCTGAGTGCCACCACTGATGGGCCTAGCTGGGGTTTGAACTTGGGCCTCCGTAGCTCTGGGCCTAAGCTCCCTGCCCACTGCCTCCTAGAACATCCTGGGAGGATGGCTGAGTTGGAGCTCTGCCCTTCCCGGAGGGTGGCTTTCACCACAGCTTTTGGGGGAAGGTGGTCATTATTGCCTCAGGTCCCTGCCCCAGTTTCACAGATACCAGTGGATTCCAGAGGAAGCTTTGGTCTCTATGATCACTTCATCTGCTAATTACCCCAGAAATGTATTGTTCAGTTGTGTTGGTGTGCAGGAAATGAACAGCAACAGGAAAAGGCAGCAGTCAGTCAGGTGGGATTAGAGGGTCAATAAAGTTGTGAATTCATGGGACCTTGAAAGCTAATAGCTTTCAGAGACTCAAATATAAAATATCAAGTGACTCAGTGTTTCAGAATAAGAAAAATGAAGCATTGATCTTTCTTAATTCCACTGAGGTGTGGTCAAGCACATCGGTCAGGAAATTGGGCGGAGGGTCACGTGTGGTCGGCCTCCTATGAACTGTGCAGCTTGGTCACATCATTTAGCATCTCTGTGCCTTGGTTTCCCATATGTAAGATGAGAGTAATATTCCCCTCACATAGCTTATTTAAGGTTGAATTCAGATGATGCACTAAAAAAGTTTAATGCTCAGAACATTATAAAAACTCAGTGAAAGTTGGTAATACAGTTATAGGGGAAGACCTATTTTAAATGTCTGGATTTAACATAAAATTTGCATCACTTTGTCATATAAACGTAAATGTGAATTCTTAGAAGGCTTTTCCCCCTGACTGTACAAGTAATAGATGCTCACTAAAGAGAAGTCAGGCAGTGTAGAAAGATGTAAAGAAGAAAATGAAAATTACGTGCTATCCTACCAGCTAGCGAACCATGGTTAGCATTTTGATCTATTTCCTTTTGCTCTTCTCCCCCTGGTTCTCATCGGCATCCAAATTGAGAGCACAGTGTATCTCGACTGGTTCATGTTATAGCATGAGCACTTTCCCATGTCGTTTTGTACTTTGTAGGCCACCACCCTACTTGGTGGCCTAATATTCCATCAGGTGGTGCCAGATTGTGTTTAATCACCCTCCTGTTTATCAGTGCCATTGCATAAGGCTGCTCGTAAAATGCGGATAGCTTTGTGTGTGCTGTCAGCCCCCAGCACTGGGCTTTGCCAATCACCGTCAAACTGCCTCCTGCCAGAACCAAGTGCCCGAGCCCTGTGCACACTGCTCCTGCAGTCTGCATGCTTGTCAGCTTTTCCGTTCATTCCATCCTTTGAGTGCATGTTCTGTGCCAGGACCTTACTAGGCGCTAAGGACACAGAGATAAATGACACAGTCATTCCATGTCCTCCAGAGCTCAGTGGGGGAGGGAGCTTGAACAGAGGCCAGAGCGTTCCCTGGCAGCCTGGTCCACACCAACCCTCTGCCAAGCACCCAGGCAGCCTCAAGAAGAGGCAGAGTCTGCCACCTAGTTGGGAGAAGAGATGTGTACCAGGATCTTCTCCCACGTCAGGGCCAGCTGATCGCCCCTCCCTCTCGGACGTCTTCAGCGGGATCCTCCAGGCAGAATGAATCACGTCATCATCAGCTGGTCTTACAGTGAGCTCCGTCTCCCTTGCCACTTTACAGCTCCTTAAAGGCAGCTCCTGGCTGGGCATGAAGTATGGGAAAATACATATAGTTGACCCTTGAACAACATGGGTTTAAACTGCATGGGTCTACTTATATGTGAATTTTTTCAACCAAACAGATTGAAAATACAGTATTCACAGGATATGTGCAACCCTCTTATACAGAGGGCCAGGATATCAACTGCAGGACCTGAGTGTGCTGTGTGCTGCAGGGGGTGGTCTCGGAACTAATCCCCACATACAACAAGGGACAATGGCATTTGTTTTTCACACTATGGATAGAGAAATTGGCTTACTAGGTTGGTACTAGGTTGTTTTTTTTTTTTTCATCACATCCAGTTGATTAGAATTAAAATCATCAAAGTGTAGTCTACTGTGTGAGGTTAAATTGTTTTGTGAAACATTGGTTTCTGTTTTATACATGTCCATACTGGTTCGTGTGGACTGGGTGATGGTTGAAGATGAATGTTTTTATGTGAGTCACAGACAAAGGCTGGGAAAGCCCCTGGCTGACAGGATGGTGTGTTGACTCCTCAGTGCAACATAGGGCCTCTGTGGCCTGCTTCTGCCAGACTGTGCTGCCTCACCTCCTGGCCCTCTTGTCTAGAAGCCTGAGCTCTGGCTGCAGGAGCGGTGGTCTCCTGGGGGCTTGGCCGGGACATGTCCTTGGCTCCACAGAGCTGTATGAACACGTTGTTACCCAGGCCTGGCTGTGGTTGGGATGGCCCATGTGTCCGGCTTTCCCCTCTTGTCTTTTAACTCTTTGAGGTCAGGGTTGAACCTTAGTCAGTGCTCTGCCCAGCACTGGCCCCGTGCCTGACAGAGCAGCAGGAACCAGGTATTGCTCGTCTGTCATGGATGGGTAATCCTCACAGCAGTCTGGTAAAAGAAAGGTTATTAACTGTTTCCAAATGAAGCACAGAGCCGTTTAGAGCATAATATGCTAAAAGCCACCCAGCTAGTAACTGGTAGAACTGAGATTCAGACTCAGGTCCATGTGACTCTAGAGTCCTCACCCTCCCACTGCGCATACAGCCCAGCAAATGCTTGTTGGATGGACATGGTGATGTTGCTTCCTCTTTGGCTCAAGACTCCCATCTGCCCAGGATTCCCGTTTGTGGCCCTTTGTCTCAGCGTCTTCTATACCTACATGAGGACTGGCAAGGCTGACTGTCCCACCTGCTCCTTGCAGCGACCTATTTCCCAGGCATTTTGAGTGCAGGAGTTGGTTTCAGGTTCCAGACGCCCCACTCCCATGCCCTGTGGAGAGGGTGCTGTTGAGCAGACACTCAGTATGTACCTGCAGTACCGAGGTCAGCGCTGCTGGAACGTGGGCGTCTGGCTCTGTGATGGGCCCCGGAGCACATTTGGAACAGCTGTGCTGCTGTCACGTGGGCTGCACACCCAGGCTGTCCGGTTGCACATCTGCTCGTCAGCTTGCCTGGTGTCCTGGTGGGCCCCATACACTTCTGCCCTTTGTTCCCTCTCCAGGTGGACCAGCGGGTGTTCAGAGACCTCATGAGTGAGAAGCTGCCTCGGTTGCATGCCCACTTTGAACAGTATAAAGTTGACTACACCCTCATCACTTTCAACTGGTTTCTGGTGGTGTTTGTGGATAGTGTCGTTAGTGACATCCTCTTTAAAATATGGGACTCTTTCCTTTATGAGGGACCAAAGGTGAGTTCGTTTAGCTCAGCTATTTTTAGATATACATGCTTGACGACTGTTGGCAGCATTGGTGGCCGTAGAGTGGTGGGCTCACCTTGTGAGGGTTACCACAGTGCCCAGGGGATCTCAGCATAGCCTGCACTAGAGCTGGGTCCAGGGTATCAGGAAACCGCAGTCATTGGTTCATTTATCAGAAACAGTCAACCGGCACCCAGCCCTGTGGTAGGTGCTGGGAGCTGTGGCTTGTAGTTTGAGCCTGAGCCTCACCATCTGTCAGACGGCTGGTGGTGCTGCCCCATCATATGGAGGAGGAGATGGAGGCCTAGAGATCTCACCAGCAGGGGACCAGGGCCACCAGCTCAGAGCCTGACTGCCCATGAGCCTCCACCTGCTCTGTCGTATGCTGTTTAAGAATTGGTTTTTGAATAAGGAATATATTTACATATTAGACTCGAATCATACAAATGGGTATGTAATGAACTGGAGGCACCCCTTGTCTTCTAGTTACTCTTCTCAATTTATTATATATCTTAGCCGGGCACAGGGGCATGCGTCAGTTGTCTCAGCTACTTGGGAGGCTGAGGCGGGAGGATCATCTGAGACCAGGAGTTCAAGTCCATCCTGGGCTGGAAAGCAAACGAAATAAGAGAAAGTACAGGGTGGCGCAGGCCCTTAGATATGGGGAAGCAGTTTGTTCCAAAGCTGCTTGAACTCACAAGACTGCCAGGAGTCCATTTCCTCTAACCTCTAACGTGCACCAAACACAAATCAATTAAAAAAAAACCCTCTCCCATCTTCAGAAGCTCACTAGTTGGGATAGAAACTGCCTCTGTAGGTGGGACTAAGAGTTTCAAAATCAGAAAAGCTTGGTTTTGGTTTTATTTTAAAATGATTTCTTACATTTGTTCATTATGCTTTATTGATTAGAAATGCTAGCTGAATATGAAGGGACTCCACAGAGATCTCCATACAGAGATTTTTGGTTTGGGCTGATGTGGTGTTGAAAACCACCAGAGTATGTTTTCCTGTGATAAAGGAATCTTGGCCTAGCCGGCAAAAATTGCCCCTTGGACCAAGCATCTGTCCCCAGGGCAGGGACTGTGCTAGCCATGTCCCCAAGTCCCCAGGGGAACCAGCACTGCCCTGGAGTCCAGCCTTGTGCTTGGACCCACAGGTTTTCCCACTAATAGATGTCCCTGTTTATTCCCCAGGTTATTTTCCGTTTTGCCCTGGCACTTTTTAAGTACAAGGAAGAGGAGATCTTGAAACTGCAGGATTCGATGTCCATATTCAAGTATCTCCGCTACTTCACTCGCACTATCCTCGATGCTAGGTGAGTCCTGGGGAGGTCTCAGATGTCAAGGAGAGCAGGAAGCCTGGCCCCTGCCTCCTTGAGAGCAGCCTGTCCTTGCTGTCTTCAAACTCAGAGGCATCCCGGGTGTACAGTGTAGGAGAGGGAATTGCTTTCCAGGGAAAAGAAAGAGCAAGTGGTGTGAGCCTTATGAGGGAGGAACTGAGATGAGGATTCTGTCCTTTATCCTACAAACATAAATCCCCACAACCAACAGCAATCATTTCATTTGTCTGGAAAGCATGTACTGAGTGCCTACTGCATGGCAGGGCCTGTGCTGGGCACTGAGGATGACGGGTGGAGAAAAAGGCCTGTCCTGGAAGCCCTTGCCGAGGACACTTGTGCATCATTTGATCAGTGCTGTGATAGAGGGTGCCCAGGCCGGAGAAAGGCTGAGTAAGTTGGGCAAGGGCATCGAGGAGACAGTCTGGGGGCAGGGGTCCTTCAGGAGCAGCGTGGAGTTGTGGGGCACGTGTGTTTGGGGAAGTGTGGCGGTGGCTGAGCCCGGCTGGCGCCGATGTTGCTGGGCTGTAGCAGAGCTGGGCTGTCAGGGTGCTTGCAGACTTCACTCAGGACGTGAAGCTTCATCCTGAGAGTTCTGGGAAGTCACTGCAGGGTTAGGCAAGAGACACACAAGTCAGATTGGGGCAGGACTGGTGACTGTTAAAGGCTCTAGGGACAGAGGTGGTCCCACAGATGGAGAAGAGGGGCAGATTGAAGAGAGGGAGGGAGGAACTTGACTTGGAAGACCCCTGGGTTTCTGGCCTGGGCAGCCAAGTGTTCAGGAACCCTCCCTGTCCACATGTTCGTTGCCCATTCTGGGCCACCCTCATCCATATGTCCCCTGGACCACAGCTATTGACTGCTCTGGCCCTGGCAGCTGAGGTGGACACTGGGAGTTGAAGGGGCTAGCTGAGGCCATGCCAGGCTTCCTGGAGGTTGTCACTATTTTTAGGGTCTTTTATTGGGGAGTGGGTTTGTAATAGTTTCAGGCTTACTAATAGCACCAACAACAGTGCCCTGATTTCTGGCAAATGAGAAAGGATATCGGAATCATATGTGCTGGAGAAAGTTTGATTCTAAGTTTTGGGGTGAGCCTGGGGAGTTTCTGTTCATCTCACGTTGGGTCAAGATTGCTGAGAGTGACACAGAGTGAGCTTGCCCGTGCCAACAGCTAGGGCTGTGTTCGGAGCACCGCTGCCCACAGTTCTGTGCTGGGTCACAGGCTCTGCCAGGAGGGGTGGAGGCGGGTGGGTGGGGGCTCTGGCGAGTGCCCCAACTGTTCTCAGTACAGCAGGCTGACCTGGCCCCTCCCGCACTTCTGGGCCTTGTGTGGTCCTGCAGCGCCACCTTGTGACCAGCTCGTGGTACATCTCCCATGCAGCTTGCTTTAGAAGGCAGGGTTGCTAGACTAACAGGTGCTTTAAGGAGTGCCCGGCTGTGGCGGCAGGCTCCCCGATGTTATCAAGACCGCAGGGGCCCTGGACCCGTCTCTGGGCTGGAGCCTCAGTGTTTTAATCAGCTCCCCAGGCTAGTGTTTGCAAGGAGGCCAGTCCTGCCACAGAGGGAGGGAGTTGTGTAGTGAACTGCATTCAGGAGATGGGGGCTAACAGGATTGAACTCAGCTCTGCAGCAGGACTTCTGGGAGCCTTTTAAGGTGCTGGACATCATCTCTTAAATTTAGCTGACCATGGGGCACCTTCTCATCCTCCAGCAGAACCTTCCAGGCCTGAGGCAGAGGCGGGGTCTGGTTTCCCGGGTACCAGCCTGGGGTGAGGGGCCTCTGTCAGCTGAGGAGCAAATGAAGAATTACACTTGGGGCTCTTGTTCTGCAGCGTAGGAGGGCTGGATGCTATGGGTTTGGGGTTTGTGGGGGCTGTGGGCTGACAGCTGTGGGGGAGAATGGGTTGGTGGTGGGGGCCCCGCACCCCATTCACATGGAGCCTCCTTCCATCTGGTGGGGCTGGCCGCCTGGTCCTCAGAGCCAGGCAGGAGGTGGAACCTGGGAACTCCCGACGCAGGGACCCCTGTGCTCAGGCCTCCCCTGTTCTCTGGTGCTCCCATGTTTTAGAACACACGCTGGGGAATTCAGAATTTAAATAAAGCCGGCCTTTCTGACCTTTGACCTCCCTGCAGGAGAAGTCTCTGGCTGAGAGTTAAGCATGTGTTCTAAAACATGAAAGGCTGCGAGCTTGTGTAAAGGAGTCCAGGCAGCCGACAGCAGCAGGAGCAAATGGCCTGCTCTGGGACAGGGAGGAAGTCCTTTGGGACATTTCTATTTCGTCACAGCTTTTCCTGGGGCTGGTGAGTCTGTTGGGCTTTTGGTTGACAGGAAAGTGAATGAGCCCCTGTTGCTGGATGCAGAGTGTCTGGGGCCTGGCAGAATCCAGAGAGGGGAAGAAGGCAGCCCCAGTGTTGGAGGATCCAGCTTTTTTTGTGACCCACGGAGACCAGTGTGGCTGACCCATTAGTGCTACAAATCCACAGCCTGGCCTCAGGACAGCTTTTGGTTTTGTTTTACTAAGCCACTGACCAATGGGTAGGAGCCAGTGATCACAACCTTAAAATTTTGATTGTAAATTGGTGCCTTGACCTGGGGAGAATGTGAAACCCATGCACTGCACATTTCCCTCTGGACTGCATCTGGACACTTGTCACATTGCTGACTGGGTCTGACAGTTGTCGCCAGGACTGCCGGGGCCCGTGTTCATGCCCAGTCACTCAGTCCTGGGACAGAGACGCCCCGGACTCATGCCCGGTGCCAGGCCTTGTGCCTGCCCAAGGATGCAGACACACCTGCACCCTCTGTCACCATGCAAGGCCAGGCGCTCTTCTCAGTGCTTGTGTGTGGGAACTCTAGTAATCCTACCCCCTAGGAGTGGCACTACTGTTATCCCCAGTGTGCAGATGAGGAATCTGAGGCCATAAAAGGGGGCAACTTTAGTCACACAGCAAGCATGTGGCAGAGCTGGAGTCCAGGTGAGCTTGTCCCTGGCTGGGTCACTGTGCCTTGTTGCCTCTCTGCAAAAGGTGGGCCTCGTCCCCTACGTCAAGCCCCCAGCATGGCCAGCGCTCCTGTCACCCCACCCCAGGCTGCCTGGCTGTGCCCGTGAGGGCTGTGTGTGAGCGCTCACTCAAGCACCACTGATTCTCGTTTCTGCCCTGCACCCTGCCAGGAAGCTGATCAGTATCTCCTTTGGGGACCTGAACCCCTTCCCCCTGCGCCAGATCCGGAACCGACGCGCCTACCACTTGGAGAAGGTCCGACTGGAGCTGACTGAGCTGGAGGCCATCCGCGAGGACTTCCTGCGTGAGCGGGACACCAGCCCTGACAAGGGTGAGCTGGTCAGCGATGAGGAGGAGGATACCTGACCTTCTCCACCTGAGTGGGCCCCTGGACGCTGCTCTTGCTGCCTTCAAACCAAAGTATGCCCAAAGGGTGAAAACGCACTTAAAAGCCAGAATGTAATGTGTCTGGCCTCTGGGAATCTGCTGGGCGGATGTCCAAAGCCAGACTGCACTTCCTCACCTCCCACTGCGTGGGGACAGGGCTGGATGGTTGAATCTGTTTACAGCCATATCCACGCCATGGCTTCTGGTTACATGTATCCCAGTCAGGTTTCTGCCTGATTGCTGGTGGAACGTCGGGCTTACCAGTGCTGTTTGCAAGAGCCTGTTTCCAGCCCCCGTCAGCCCGGCAGTGCTCTGGCCCCCTGAAACCTTGCTTTGCTGGGCGTCTCCCCTTGTTCTCTCTCCTGCACATGATGGGCAGTCGTGTGGGGTTTTGAATGGCAGTGCTGTGTAGGATGCCCACTGTGCTTCAGGCACCTGTAGGCCAGAGGGTTGCTGCCTCAGGCATAAGGTTGGTATGAAAATGAACTTATGCTTAGAAAAGCAGGCACATTCTTGTTCAGAAACGGCCACCATAGAAAACCCGTGAACCTTCCGCTGGTGCTTTAAGCTGCCAGCCATGCGCCATTTCTTGAATAGCCTTTGCTCTGTCTATCCAGATGTCCACCCTCACTTCTCATGGCCAGCCTGGGTTTGCACATTGCTGGGCTGCCCTGTCCCCAGCTTGCCCCGTGTCTGGCACGGCTCTGTGAGATTCTGTGTAATGCCCTCTTGACTTTCATTCACCAGGTATGAGGAGGTGGGATTCCAAGTAAATGGTGGACCATCACATTGCAAAGCAGGCCTACCCCCAGGCTCCCTGGGCTGACCTTGGTTGAGGGGAAGGAGGAATCTTTTGGGGGTGCTTTGCAGGGCAGTGGTACAGCTGCAGCATGAACGCTCTTGGACAGCTGAAAAGCTTGGCCTCCTTGGGGATGGCCAGTGCTCCTCCTGACTGGGTTGTGCAGGAGGCCGGCTGCCAGCACTGGGGCTTCAGAGACTCCTGTGCTTGGGGCGCAGGCTTGGGGAGCTCTCCCAGATGTGTGCCCTCCCCACCATTGCCTAGAAGCATCTTGTTCTCTGCAAGGATGCAGGGTCACATCCCAGTTCCCTTCAGCAGTTTCTGGGAACTCGGAGGACTGCCTTTCTGAAGGCTGGAGAGGCTTTGAGCAAGGAGCTTACTTTTGTTCAGTCCCCCAGACCATCCCTGATGCGCAGATGTGACAGGGTGTTTTCTGGCACAGTCTTGTTAAAATACAAGAGAAACGGTCTCAGTGGAATGTTTCACATTACCTGAAAAAAAACGAAATCATCCTTGGTTGATAGGAACGCAGTGAGACTAAGAATCGAAGCAATGCAGTTTTAAGAAGTATCTTTTTCCTGTTTCTTTCTGCCGGTGACTTTCTAGCACTGCCGCGCGAAGTTGGTGTTTCAGCACGCTAGACCGAGCCTCGGCTCCATGTCTTTAGTGGAATTGTTAGTGTTTCTCTGTGTAGAGGGGCTGGCTTCCATGTTTAGCCAAAAAGCCTTTGCCTGTTTCAGGCATCAGAAATGGGTTTTGTCATTGTCTTTGTCTTTGAGAGCAGCAGATTCCTGAAGGAGTATGTCCTGTGAGCTGGGCGTTGCATCTGCTCCAATCGAGTGTTGGAATCCCACCCCCCAGCCCATCGTGAAGTGGCAGCTGTCAGCCTGGGGGCGGCTGCTCAGGAGGTGCAGCGGGAATGGGGCTAAGCCTGTGAGCCGGCTCCAGCTGCCCTCAGGTTTTACTTTCCAAGCCAAAGGCCCCTGGAACATGCCAGCACACACCGCCGTGTCCTGGGGCTAAGACGCTGCCTTAGGGACAGGCTCATGTTGTCTGGTTTGCTCTGTGAGTCCTGCCTGACCGGAGGCCTGTTGTAGCTGCAGCCTGAGGTGCAATGTTAGTGTTTCCAGACAGTTGCCAGCGCTGCCAGGCAGTGTGTGTGCGAGGGCAGGAGATGTCCTGGAGGAAAGGGACTGGGGACGCTTTCCTGGAGGTTCTCCCTGGAATGAAGTTCTGTGTGTCCAGAATGTGAGAGAGGGCGGCTCCTTCTGATTTAGATGAACTAAATTCTCCTTCCAACTGATGGCCCCACTCTTTCGGGCTAATATTTCTCCTCCCTCGTGTCATTGAGAAAAGAGCTGCTGTGTCCTCTCCAGGGCCCAAAGGTCCCTGGCCTCCACCGGCTGCCACAGCAGGGGGCCATTCTGGCAGGGGCTTCCGCATGCTGCTGTTCCTCCTCCGAACCTTCGCCCCAGCACCCAGCCCATGGCCCCTGCAAGGGGGACCTTGCTGGCTGTTAAACCCAAAGGGCGGCCTCCACCCCCTGTCCAAATGCGCATGCCAGGACCCGGGCCTCCCTCCCACCTGCTGGGAATTGCCAATTTTTAAATGGATGGGGTTTTTTTATGGGTTGAATCTCTCTGTTAATACTTTTGTATATTTTTACTACAGTTTATATTTTTTTAGGCTATTTTCTCAAGGTGTCTCCAGATTCCACATATCTATTTTATATAACAAGTTCTTACGTTGTGTGTGTGACTCCCTGGTGTCTATCTGTGCCAGCCTGAGCCTCCGAGTTGCTCTTCCCTCCGGCCCTGACTCTCACTGACTCACTGATGTGATGTGCGGCCCACTTCTCACCCAGGTAGCCTCAGTCGCTGCCTGTCGCCATGCTAACAGCTGTACAGTAGCAGCCAAGACTGTTGCTGGCTGGAGGCGGTTCTGGCTTCAACTGCAGTGTGCTAATGTAGCAAATGTGCTAGTCAGATCCTCGGTTGGGTTTTCTGACCACGTGCTTGTGTCGCACAGATCCCACCTGCCATCCTATAGTGTTATCTTCCTGTGTGTTCCCAGGCTTCTGGGCAGCTGGGCCTGCCCCAGGGAAATGCTTGCAGGTGGGAGCCCATACAGAGACCCAGTGTGCGCCCCTGAGAGTCCACCGCTGCTGGGCGACTGCAGGACGCCAGGGGGCGCCCAGTGACTCTGTCCTTTTATATCACAGCAGCGCCTGTGCTGACCTTCAAGTTACACTTTGGAATTACAATACTAAAGGAAGAAATAAACTACTAATTTTGTATAATATTCTGTCTTGAAATTCAGTTATAGTCGCTTGTGATGGGGCTCATCCCAAGGGCTTGGAGGGTGGGGCAGGGCTTATTGGTGTTGGGGGGGCAAGGAGGGGCTCTCTGACCTTCCAGTTTTTGAGTGTCCCTGGGAATTGCCAATTTTTAAATGGATGGAGTTTTTTTTTATGGGTTGAACCTCTCTGTTAATACTTTTGTATATTTTTACTACAGTTTAAATATATTTTACTACCTGGGGCGGGTGTGTCAGGATGTCTTTGCCAGCAGGGGCAGCCTTGGGAGGCCCCAAAAACCATGGCCAAGTTGCAGGTGTGGGTTGGGGGTACTGAGGTGGGAAAGCCAGGAGCTGGAGACTCCCTGTGTCCAGATAACCCCCCCGTCCAGCCACAAAGAACAGGCACCCCTCCTTCCTCCAGCTGTACCATGCCCTGCCTGAGTCACAGGCTTGTCTCCTGCCTGGGCTGACAGCTCAGGCACAGCTGCCACTGGGGACACTGCCAGCCATCAGTGGAAAACACCAAGAATGATTAGGACCAAATGTCTTCCCATGGGGCGGTTTGTGGAGTGGCTCTAGCAAGTATTCCCAGACAGAGCAGGCCAAGGCCTGGCAGCCTTTTCTCTTCTGGGGACATGGATTCAGCAAGGCTGGGAGTTCCTGAAGTCACACGGCACAGCAGCGGCGGCAGAGCTGGGACAGGTACTGGCTCAGTGTATGGGTCAGGAGCAAGTCGACAGGCCCTGCTCCCCACCCCTTGGAAGGGGTTGTCACTAGGGGCAATTCTGACTAAGGCCTGGGAAGCCATGGCTCAGAGCACGGGTCCCTAGGGTCTCTTTGGGCCAGCCAGGCTGCTGCAGGAACAGACAGGAAGCATGTCTGATGCCCCCCTGCCCTTGAGCTGCACAGCAGGGCCAGGACTCACCCTAGCTTGCCAAGTGACATGCTTTTCTGTGTGGCCTCTGGCAGGCTGCCCTCTCTGCGTAAAGCCACCACTGGGGCCTGCTCGGGGCCTGCACCCTCTACCACCTGGAGCTACCACAAGGTGGCCTGGAGCTCAGAGGTGGGCAGTTGGGCCCTAGGATGGCCTGTGTCACCAGGGCATGTGCCCTTGGCCCAGTTACTTTCTCTTAGAACCTCAGGCTCCTCCTCTAAGGATGGGGCTATTAGTGTGAAATGAGGTGAGCATGTGGAGTTGGCAGCAGCAGGGCACTCACCTGCAGGCAGCCGCCCTGGCCATGCTCCCTCCATCGCTTCCAAGTCCTGGGACAGACGCTTATCGCCGAGGGGTGCAGCCTCTGATACTGTTTCTTGGTCTCAGTCTCTGAGGAGTGATTTTCACTGGTGTCCCCTATCCCCAGCATACACCTGGCCGAGTGGCAGCAGCTGCCACATGCAGGCTCTGGAGCCCCACTCACCTTTTGTCCGGGGATGTTGTATTCCGGAGAGTAGAATGTGTGAGGTGGCCCCGGTAGGCTGCAGGGCAACCTCTCTGAATCTTAGCATCCCCCACCTGGAGAAGGGGTGTAACACCTTCCAGGAGCAGGGCTGAGAGGGCAGTTGTCAACTGCCGAGTCCAAGGCTTGAAGCCAGAGAGCAGGGTTGGGTCCAGGGCTGGGCCTGGCCTGAGAGGACAGTGTGTGCCCCTTCCCCAGGCTCCCCACCCCCAGCGAGCCCAGATTCCACATATTCCACCCCCGGCCAGCCCAGATTCCACATATCTTCAAAGCAGCTTCGTGCCCATCTGTTTCTGCTGTGGGCACCACAGTCTGGCTCCATGGGACTAGATTTTATGGGAGGGGAAGGGGCTGTGGGTAGGCAGGTACCAGGTAGCTGGATCAACGTGGTAGGAACCTGGTGCTGGGGCTGGTGGTGGGGAAGGGGCCACTCTGAGGGGTATCAAACCAGTGGTTTGAGGTATACAGAACCTGGCTCCCCATCCCAACCACTTTAAGGAGGCTCCAGCAGCTCCCCGCCATGCAGAGGCCCCTGTTTCTAGAGGGCCTCCTGAACCAGCATTGCAGGTCTCCAGCTGCTGCTGTCTCTGTCCCACCTGCCCATGGCTGACCCCCAGGACTCGAGAATGGGCACTGGTAGGCTGAGGTTTCTGGAGGAAAGGTCCTGAGTCCCCACCCTGACCACCTTACATGCCCATGAAAGAGCCTGCCCGGGGTGATACCCTGCTACCCCATCTCCATCCTTGCTCAGCCTTGGTGTCCCCTGACAGAACCTGGCACAGAGCTGCAGTCCCAGGGGCCTCCTGCCAGCCTGCAGTGGCCTCTGCCCCCTATTCCCAGCACATCCCCCTGTCCCAGTGCACCTGTCCTGCCAGGCCTCTGTGACCCCCTCCAGCCATGGGGGCTGCACTCAGCCTTGGCTTCAGAGTCACAGGGTCCCATCTCCCAGGCCAGCCTTCCACTTCTCAGGTGGGCTGGGAAGCCTAGAGAGAGTGGACCTTACAGGCCGTCAGCAGAAACCAGGGGCTGAGCCCAGGCCGGCTGGTGAGGGAGGCTGGCTGCAGGCTGTGCTTGTCAGGGCTGAGGCTTGGCTGGGCCCTCCTGCCTGTGGTTATCGGAGCTGTTTGAAAAGTGGCTTGTTTCCAGCCTCCTGGCCTTGCTCCTGATGCTCTTGCCGCTGCTGACAACCCCCAGCTACCGCCCTGGCCCTGCTCACTCCAGCAGACCTCCCAGGGGAGGAGTAGCAGGACGGGAGCAGCCAGCCCTGGGCCTGGGACATCCTCTAGGCCCCACAGAGGGCACGAGGCAGCAGGGCAGGCTCCTACACCCCAGCTCCAGGCAGAGCTCCAAAGCGCACATCTTCAGGCTGCATCCTGGTTGCCCTGGGTGACCTCACACAAGCTGCTTTACTTCTCAGGCCTCGGTTCCCTCCTCTGCGAACCCCACGCCCACAGCAAACAGATGTGGTGTTGCTGGGTCACTGCAGTGATCACACTCTGGAGTTTCCAGGCTTTCCAAATATCCACCACACTGTCCCACACACCAGCAAAACATCCTGGGAATTCCAGGTCTCACGGTCCAAGACACCCTCCTGCGGCCCCTCCACTGTTCATTGGTGGCAGAAAACTCCTCACTGAGGACAACGCCTAGGTCAGCCACCTAACCAGCCCCACCGACACTCCCTGCAGCCCACTCACACCCACCCCAGAGAGACCTTGCAAGCCCAGAGCATGCTGGGCCATCTGTCCTTGGTTCCAGGCCCCCAGGCGCCTCAGTTCCTGTTCTCTGCCCCATCTGGTCTTCACCACCTGGATTGTAACCACCCCTCTCCCTGTGGCCAGCCCTATAGCCCTGATGGCAAGAGAGATGGTGCCAGCACCCAGCTCAGGCAGCTCACAGGAGTGCTCTGAGATGCTGGCTGGGGTGCATGCTGAAGGCAGCAGGGCAGGGTGACACTTCTGGGAAGCCATCCCTGCGCCCTGTGCCTAACTGGCCTGCCCTTGCTCCCAGCCCCGCTGCCCTCAGTGCCTCCTCGGAGGGCCTGGTCCCATGCCTAGAACCCACTCAGTACTTGAACCCCACTCACATTTGTGGGATCGGCTCCTGTAGCGGGGAGGGGCCTGAGAACAGTGGGGACAGCCCCCAAGGCTGCAGGGCAGCTAGCCCCTCAAACGGGACATGCCTGAGATGCCTGGGCAAAGCCCCGGGATGGAGCCATGATGCAGCAGCGGGCAGAGACATGGGTGAGACACCGCTGTGCCCAAGGGATGGGGCAGAGGACCTGCCCAGCCCACAGGCAGGAGGGGAGGAGACAGATTTCACGGTCAGGGCCCAGCCTGCCAGGTTTTGTTGTTATAAGGTGCGGGTCTGAAAGCCCTGAACATGCGCCGAGTCTGTGCCAGTGTCGTGCTGTGCCCGCCGAGGCTGTGCCCAGTCCTGTGCTTCGTCACATTACTTCATTTAATCTTCCCGACCCTCCTCTCCCAAGCTGTCCCAATTTAACAGATGAGAAAACAGTGACCCAGCAAGACAAAGCAACCTGCCCACAGTCACTCAGCAGCCAGTGGGACAAAGACTCAAACGCTGGCCCAGCTGACTCCAGGGCCTGGCTCAGGGCCCAGAGCTGAGATTTCTGAACCCCTCAATTCCAAACAGACCCGGCAGAAGGTGTCCTGCCCACCTGAGGCTCCTCTTCCGCCCCCTTCTGCTGCTGGCCTTTGCTGGGCTCCCTGATTGCCCCAAGCTCATCATTCCCGCCTCAGACTTCACACCTGCTGTCCCCTTGATCCCTGTCCTTGGCATCACTGACTCCTCCCTTGGGTCTCAACCCCAGGCCCCTCCTGGGAAGGCCTTCTCTGATACCACAGCACACATGCCCTTTCCTTGTCTGTTTCTCCCTGGCAGGCTGTGAGCGCCAGCAGGGCGGGGCCTTGTCCAGTCACTGCTGCACGTGCAGCCTCCAGAGAGAGCCTGGCTCTCAGCTACACTCAGTAGCTGCTTCACCCATCCCAGGACTCACCAGGTGCCAGCAAGCCCTTGCTCCCTGCTCCAGGCAGGTCACCAGATGCTGCTGTTCACCACCACCACAGACATCGGAGCACTGAGGGCAGGGAAGGAGTCAGGGCACAGCCAGGGTCTGAGAGCGCCCCCTCCTGCCAACTGGACCCTCAGGCCTCACCTCCCTCCAGGAAGAGATGTAGCAGCTGAGGCAGGGCTGGGCCCTGCAGGGCTGGTGCGAGGGTGGCTTGGAAGTCCCCGGCTGACAATGGAAGGGCCACAGCAGCCGGAAGCCCCGTGTGTCCACACACTGTAGGTCCCGCACGGAGGAGTCTCCAACACAGCTGCAGGAGCACTGGGGACCAAGAGACGCATGTGGACACTCCCCACGTGCAGGCCCACACACGTGACCCCGTGAGGCGTGTGGCAGGGAGGCCATCAGGCCCACGCTCCAGCCTGGGGCAAATCCCTGAAGAGCCCCCAGTGAGAGGCCAAGGCTGGCAGGTCCCAGGCAAAAGGTGCATGGCCAGACCGAGAAAGGGAGAAACA